ATACATTTATTCCTCATACCGTTTGGAAATTAGTCTCACGTGACTAGTGTGGGTTTGTGTCATCCCAGTATCAATGATTTTGTTTATTCATAATGCCATTGTTTGTAAATTTTGATTCATCACTCCAAAGAATATGATTGACTATTAAGGGTCATCAAAAAATTTAACATTGAACCAAACCATAAACTCTAACCTACGAATTGAATCTCCTGCACGCAAATGTTGGACGAAATTGATTTATATGAGTGCAATTTGTGTTTTTTTAGAATTTTTAAACACAACCATATGAAACGCCAATTTCGCGAGCAACATGCCTAATTGACGAACGTGGATGCTGGTACCTATAACTTCGTATCGTTATCAAACATATCTGCTCTTCGTCTTTGTTGGTTGATTTATCTGCCGAGAAATCTTCCATTCTGACTTAACCCTTTTAGAAGACGTTAAACGTAATTATAAGGTGGATGGTATCTTTCTGGGTATCGTTCGGTATATGTCATAGCAGCTAGGCGTACATTACGTTGACATTCGCCATAAATTTAAACCAACTCAACTTTATCAGCGTTATTCATATTTAAAACAATTATAATTTATAGGAGCACTTAATAACCAAACATACATACACGGATAACGTACAGACTATGGTACGGGTATGGGTCTAGTCGTATAATAAAAGTGAAATAATATTTTTCATCAAACTAAATATCTTAATAATATAACATTATCTGATTATCTTATCGTTATTAAAGCTATTGTAAAATAAAATAAAATTCCACTATAAAAGTAGTTAAAATTGTAATCGCATTACATCAGTTTCCTAAACAAAAACTATCCCATACTCGAGATATTCATTCTAGTGACCTACAGTATTATTAAATTATTATTTTCAAACGGTTCAAGTAAATTAAACATTTATTTAGCACTTATTTTATTATTTCCAGTGGTTATCAATGAAAATTTCATTAAACACGATTTATGTATAAATTCAAATTTTAACTTATTCTAACTTGGTCAATTTTGTAAATAGAAAAAAAACTTTTTATACAAAAAACGTTTAAAAAAAATAATCTATTCGAATATGTAAAAAAAAAATTAGTGTTTCCATTAAAAAAAATTTAAGTTGTGTTGCGCATGCGTACACCAAGTGTTGATAATTTGAAAATCATAATTAAATGTGTGTTTAAGTACTCCCTAAGCACTCTAAAATATTCGCTTCAATACAAGGTCATCCACCTGAGATATTTAGTGTTACCTTAAACCATGATCACACTGTATATTGTTAAGAACCACTATATTATATTGCATTTATTGGGAAACACTATGTGTTTGAAATATATTATGTTAATTATTGTAAACTGATGCGTGTGCGACGAAAGGCAAGTGAGACTCCCTACCCATACGACTGGTCTAAGGAATCTTCTGAATAAACCCTTTTGACCGGACGACCAGCTCGTATACATGGGCTCACACACGTAGCAGTCAGTCGTAGTTTTTGGTGCAGAGCATTAATATAACAGAGCCTTCAGAGTATTCAGAACATTTAATGTATTTTATTTAATGTAAGTTTCTTTTCAAGTACAAATATAAAAGTAAAACTAGTTCGAGAATGTTTGTTTATTTGTGCACGGCATTATCTCTCGATAGTCCGTAACAATATACGAGCAAAAGTTGAAATCGGGCAAACCTTAGAAATGCCCGGGAAAACGCGAATTGCCTTTTATCCTTGGGCAAAATACATATTTCGGCTTTTGGCCGGGCAAACCTAGTTATGATCAACCTCATTTGGGCAAAACCGTAGTGTCTTATATACGTTCGTTATTATTAAATACAAATATTAATTCTTATCGTACAATTTTATTACGATTAAAACTGACCATATTGCACACCTATATCAAAACAGTAACAACTCAAAAAAACGCTTTTTTTAGGAATATCGATTTTGTTGGTGGTTACCTTGGTATCATTCATTCAATAAAATGTACTTACATTACTATCTGACGGAGAATATTAAAGATAAAGATAAAGCTGTTTTGTTGATTTATTTAATTTCGTTTGTAGAATCCGAATATACGTTTAACTAAAAAAAATCTGCCCCGGTGTATTCCTTGACATTGCGCAAGCATTCGATCGCGTCTGGCACGACGGATTATTGTTCAAATTAAAATCGTTTCTTCCTGCTCCGTATTTTCTCATCCTAAAATCTTATCTTGAAGACCGATATTTCACTGTTAAATTTAATAATTCCTACTCTATCTACCATAAAATCAAAGCGGGAGTACCCCAGAGAAGTGACCTATCACCTATACTCTATAATATATACACATCAGATATGCCCAAAACAAACCATACAACTCTAGCGACATATGCAGACGATACCGCTATACTAGCATCAAATAAAGACCCAAACATAGCCACCCACGATATACAATACCACTTAAATCTAATCTCCAATTGGACTCAAAAATGGAAAATTAAAATAAACGAAAACAAATCAGTCCAAATAAATTTTTCTCTGAAAAAAAACGAATGTCCACAACTTTTGCTCAATAATTTACCAATTACTATCCAAAATGTAACCAAATACCTCGGAGTTCATCTAGATAAAAGACTTACCTGGGCCCAACACACAAAACAGAAAAGAAAACAATCAAACTCACGTTTACATCTCCTCCGTCCGTTATTGTCTTCTTCAATGAATTTAAAAAACACAATACTAATATACAAGACGATTATTACCCCCCCTCTGGTCATATGGTATCCAAATCTGGGGCCAAGCCAAACCATCCAATATAAGACCCATACAGGCTTTCCAGTCTATATGTCTTAGACAAATAACTGGAGCTCCTTGGTATATGACCAACGACGCACTACACAAAGATCTCCAAATTCCAACAGTCAACGAAATAGCAACTCACCATTACATAAAGTTTCATTCCAAACTGCACTCGAACCAAAACCCTCTAATTTCTCGCATTTCCTCTATAACCATCCCCAACAATCCTCCGAGGAGGCTAAAAAGAAAATGGCCAAGAGACGCTCTTGCCTAACGGTCTCCATATTATGAATCCATCAAATTAAATAGGAGGTACTGTTAATGGACGGTTTTCCCCCCTCAAGACATTCAAGTCATTTTACTACTACTTATATTATCAAATTTACTTATTGTGCAAATTATATAGATTGTAAATATGCTTTAATAAATAAAAAAAAAAAAAAAAAACTTAAAAAAAAAAACTAAAAAAACCAACTTTTTGAGTTGTACTGTTCTGATATGGATGTGCGACATGTATCTTGTTAATTTATTGTTGTTATCAAATTTTATCAACTCGTTATATTAAAGTTACATAAAATACACATTCATTTTTTAATTCTTTATTTTAACGTTATAAGAGTACCTAATATTATTTTTTTTAATTTTATACGAGTACTTAATATCATTATATTTTTATTATTATTTAAGTGTATTCAATTATATTTGTACAATAGTATTTATTTTATGATTATTTGATTTTACCCAAATGAGGTTAGTAATAATTAGGTTTGCCCGGTCAAAAGCCGAATTATAAAATATTGCTCAAGGATTGTATACAGTTTGCGTTTTGCGCGATTTTGACTTTTGCCCGTAAAATATAAATGTACCTACGTAAATATAATTTAACAATTGAATTACCCGGTTTCGCACGGAACGGTCACAGTTTTTAATGGATTATTACCTTACACTATTAAAAGCCCAGGCTTTTTATTAGCATTGATCCGTTATCACTACCTAAAATTACGTAAATTATTACTATCGGCGTTTCGATAACGTAATCATGGGCCTCATCGACAAATTCAACTGATTACTAGCAATAAACTTTTAATACAAAATGGTAATCCGTCATAATGGTGAATCCAAAAAAGCCAATGTCAAAATAGCATCGGCAAAATAACTAAGTATAAAATAGCTTAAAGCCATAATAGTGAAGTTCAAAACAGCTAAAGTATATTATTTTAAAATTATTCTTTTTCTTCTTCTTTGGGGTTTATGCAGAGGGTTTATACGCCACCAATTTTACTTAGCTAAACCATTTTGCCATCCTCGTTTCAGATCATGTTAATGAATTCAACGATAGCGTTTTCCTTGCGTTTGCGCACATTGGCTGTTATAAAGTTAATATTTCACATTCGGAGCCTCGAACATAATATTGACAGCCTACGTCATAATGTTGTTACACGGTTGTTTTGGGAAACGTGGTACTTTGGGAAAGCACTCCGGTCCCCGGTGCGAAAATCTAGAACCACTACCTATGTCACCCCAGTACACTTGTATTTTGGACGCAATTTAACCACGTAACCAAAAGTGGGGATGGTGCATTTAACTTCTTGAAAACCTATCGATAAGTTGTGAAACTTGAACGTTGCGTTTCACGTCTTGATTTCGTATTCTTCAAATTTATAAGATATGTCGGTTAAAGTGTCGCGCTCGATATCATCCAAATCGTTTCACTCGTGATCAATAAGATAACGGTGGCCGATCGGTATTCGTTACGAAATCCTTCGGATGGACTATCAACTCCACTTACCCTTGGTGTTCGAAGAACTTAGAAAAAAAACACTATGCTAGAGTCAGTGCTTACTCATTGGTCGTAATATTGCCATCATTCAAAAAAAAAAAACGATAAACGCGCTATCATGTTAATCATTCGTTATACATCGATTTCAAATCGAAACGATTAAATTAAATATGAAAAATCATATTTTTACATCGATAAACGATTTTTTCCAAACGCGCACCTGGTACATTGATGTAATTTTACTTTAAGTGTATTATGCACTTGTATACGGTGCGTTAACATATTCTTTTGCATGACAGATAGTAGTACAAAATATTATGTTATGTGCAACTTAAGCTGGATGAATAGATCAGAGAGCACTTTTTTTTTTTTTTTTTGATTTTTTGATTTATTTTCAATAATTACGTATATAACATTTTATAATAATGATGTTTTATTATACGTTCAAACAGTTTATTGACATTCATCACGGACGGATGAACAAAAACAAATCTCCCAAAGCTTATGCGTCAGCTGGTGATCCTAGCTGCATCGTCTGCGGGTTCTGCCACGTACCCGACTGACCACTAAGTCTATACCGGGTGTCTACGGAGGTACCGGCTTCGAGGTCAATAGCCTCCATGGTACGGTCCCTCATATCCCATAGTATCCAGGTCCAGTCTTCGTCAGTCGCTTGGGTTGCCTGTGTCACTTTATACTCTACCGTGGACACGACGTGTTCGTATCTATGGAACAGCAGCGGAGTGTTGCGCAGCCCGGTGATGAAAATCAGCACGGTCGGATCTTCGGGCTTTTGCCGCATCTCCGACCATTTTGAAAAACATAGTTTCATCAGAAACGGGAATTTGGATCCTGTGACACACATACACGCGCCATCGAGTGATAAACGTTATACAATAAAGTAAATAACACCGTTACGCAAAACAGGTGGTAACAGTGATACGGCATGATTGTATGATTGTCATAACATACTCGACGACTCTAGCTGCATATGGTTCAACAACAGTATAGCCTTGGCCGCCAGGTCGACACTTTTGAACTCCAAAAGACCCTTCGAACATTTAGCGCCAGGCTGCTTTTGGGGTACTGAAAGAAAAGAAAACGATAAAATCACTACGCATATTTGTTACGCGTGAAATCAAAGTGTTTCGATGAACGACTGACGAATTGTTATCGATCGAACCGCGTCCTTGCAACCGAGGGCGTCTGTCACTGCCCTGCGAATCTTCGAGCAGCTGATATCCAACGGTGCGTTGAAGAAATGCAAAATCTATTTGAAAGTTTCAAATAATTTTATTATGTCAGTATATTACATCAACACGTCGACGCAGTGATATACAGTGATATATCGTATTTAGGATTTTTCGTGGTGTGAGGGCGAGAAGATCTACTTACTAATATCACCCTTCTATTTACTTAATTAACATATTTTTGATTGTATTTGTAATTCGATTGAGATCTATAATATAAAGTAAAATAATTGTTCCCGTCATATCTATCGGAATTTCAAACGTCGATTTCAAACTTCTCAAGAAATACACCACGGCGTAAACTTAAACGTTGTAATGCACTTACCTTCGACGGCGCTGCGATTTGACGCTCATTCACAAACTTTGTTTTGTATGAAAATCGGTTTAGTTTGCTGCCCTTGTAACATTTCTGTGTCGGCGTCCCGTCCGACAATTTGATCACCGTTCCTTGATCGCGTATATAAGAATAATTGGAATATCTAAAACGTCCGATTATAATCATACGATGTCGATAGGTATTATAATTATAAAAGTGCTTGTGTCGACGATAAGAATGAATACATTATTTATTTGTATTTATTTATTTGGATAAATGCCTGATAGGCTCAAGTACAGATATATAACATAATTAACAAATTTTCGGAAAACAAAAATTGTTGATAAAAGTGTGATACAATTATATAGGTGTAATATATAAGATAAGCAATTACATAACAAGTACATATAAATATTGCTATTTGGACAGACTAGTGATTTAAATAATGACGTTTTAGGTTTGACAGATTATTAAAAAAGAAATCAAAATTTGATGTTTTTCCTAATGTTAGGAGTCTATTTAGTGGATTATTTTGTTCATAGTTAGTGCGATGTGTTTTCATATAAAATGTTGGGCATGAGCGGGTATTGTATTGTGGTACGTGAAACGAAATACATTTCAAAATTGGAAGGCAGAAGATGATACCATTAATTAATTCATACAAGAAGGATATATTTAATATATTGTGATGCGCTAAAAGTGGATTAAGTTTTAAATAAAACTGTAGGCTTTTAAACAAAGATATCAATATTATTCGTTAACCTTCTTTTAAAACCTACAAAACAATCAAATCTTCTTTGTACTAGTTCAAGATTTTGTATATGAGAGATCGTAGTAAGATTTCATATAATGGACGTATTAAGGCACAGTAAAGAATTCTAAGACAGTTAATATCATCGAATGATTTGATAGACCTAAATAAAAATCCGAGAGTTTTAATAGCCTTAAGATTGATTTGGTCAATATCAAAATTGAATTAGAAATGAAACTTTCATATTTAAAAATAAAAAACGTGTTACTTTGTGTAATACATTTGAGTCCAAAAGAACTGAACAAGATACGCGTGGCAATTAAACCTCTGCAAGTGATATAGAAATGATAACTTCTGAGGGCCACCAATTTCACTTTTTTTTTTTTTTTTTTTTTTGTGCGCATAGTATTATAGTAGTATTTTAATAGATGGCAAGGATCAGGATAAGCGTTTATATTCAATACCCCAATGCCGAAACCGTTATGAAGCGAGCGTTTAAAAATTAATCGCTTACTTGACTTTCAATTTATTTTTCTTATCCAGTGGCAACAAATGCAGGTGGGCCACGCAACGTTCGGCCGCCTTGACGTCGTTTAGCTCGATGAGAACTCCTCCATTTCGCAACATCTTCACGGCCCACACGTTTCCGTACGGACAGAACATGTTAAAGACATTATCGCAATTTATTCCACGTCCCAGCCCGTGTACGAGCAGCGTTCTTCCGGGTTTGGTGCGCCGTATCCGTGAAGATGACCGGCGGAATGGTTGCGCACAAGAATCACCGCTACCCGACTCGGGCTTTCTGTCAATCCGCTGCACTTCGCTCGACCGTAACCCCCCGTGGTCCCTGTGAACATCGCAAACATTATTACCGTTCTTACCGTAACCACGGCCAACCCTTTTGACCGAAGACCGACGTGATCGTCCGTCTCGAACGTATTCTGTAGTCGAACGGCCTCCGTCGTGAACTAGGTGGCGTCTACAATCGGCGCATTGGCCACGAGCCGAGTTCAAAAACGTGCGCTGTCCATCTTCCTGTTCGTATCTCTCCATCGCGAAAGAAAAATAAGTCGAAATGGTTTTACGTGAGTGACTGACAAAAAGAGCAAATGTTTCGAGACGATCGTTTTCAACTGTGAGCACGCGTATAATTAGTCTAGAAATCTTCTAATGAGATGAAACAGGCAATCGGAGTAAACACTTACGTTTTCATGGTTTCCACAGACCAGATGTTACTTAGCTGTTTAGTAAATGGCCGGTAAGAGAAAATCATATTACATTAAAAATTACTATTATAAAAACAATCAACTTTACAATTTATTAATCATTAAAAAAAAATATTAAGTATAAGTTATTATTTGTATTATAAATAATCAGCAAATAGAGTAGTTAACTTCATAGTTTGTGTATTATAAGGTATCATTAAAATTTTTTTATATTTTACAATATTTATAAGCACTTTTTTATCGTTTTATGAGATGACATTTTTCGGGGCCCTTTGAGTACGAGGTCAAAACTGAATACCATTGAAGGACAGAATATTATTGATAAATTATCAATGATTATTTATGATTAGAAATTATGACTTTGCAGTTACTGAAAAGGTAATAGGTATCGAATACCATAATTACCACAGTCTATAGGCTTGATTTTATATTATGACGAATATTATCTTAGAATCATAATGGCTATTATTACTATATAACCCAAATATATAATAACCTATAGTGGTTATTACTAAGGTTAAAATATATACAAGCCTGGGCAATTTAATGATATTTTCTAACTCAGTTAAGTTAAATTAATTGAGTTCACTTTCAATGAAGTTAAAAATAAAGTTAAAAATTTTGTTATCTTAACTTAACTTAAGTTATACCCTCTACCCTGTTTCCATATGATTATAATGTTTAGTAAGATTTTTAATATTTCCCTATCGATTGTTATTTTTCAAACTGAAAGTATACACATGTCTGGTATAAATCTGGAAACGATAAAACGAATCATGAATTTTAATGCGAGACATATAATTTAAAATCTAATAGATTGGTCAGACACGCTAAAACTGGCTCTTCTCGAATGTATAGTGCACGCTTCCGATTTCGGACCAGGCCTGACTCAATGGGTAAGCGACATAGGCCCACGCCTAAGGCGATATTTAGTATTTTTAAACTATGGAAAGTTTTAAAAAAATATGACATTCACCAGTAACTCATATCAAATTATGTATAAATAAGTAGTGGTCCAATTTTCTACAAATGTGTGGATCTAATAATTTGTTAACTTTACATAAACAAATAGTATTTAGTCCAACATTACTAATTCTTTATGTAAAAAAATAATATTCGATGTAGTATTTACACGTAAGGGGCGGCAAAATTTAAGTTTGCTAAAGTGTAATCAAACGTTTGAGCCGGGTCAGTTTCGGAGTACGTGCTTTGCGTCGGGGTTCGTCAAAAAAAAGTAGGGGCTGCCACAACACGTTTCCAATGCAAATTGTACGCGTTTTAAAGACGGAAAAAATAATACCGTGCACGTTCGGCAACAACAGTTCTAGACGCGCGCCCATTCGATTTCCGGCGTTCAAACGCTGCGTTTTTGAAACGCGTGCGCTACCGTCCGAAACGCGTTAAAGCTGTGCGGCACTAATGCCGTCCGCAGTCCACGCGACCTGAGTATCGTCGTTGTATCACGATAGAACATACTGCTCCTGCTGTGTAATTAATTCACGTGCGGTTGTGCGCGTAAATATATTTCTGTGTATAAAAATATCGTTTGGTGTAAAAAAAAAAAAAATCCAACCATAAAACAATTAATAACGAATAAAAAATAAAAAAACAATATGAGTGTATATTTATGAAAAAATTCGAAACATTTGTTAGTACAAAAATACCCAGGTCGAAATGGTTTGCAGTGTACAGGTCCAATTATTCACGTGTGTGCGGGGGGTGAAAAAAAGGATAAAAGGATACAGTCAATAAATATTGTCGATGAAAAAAAAAAAAAGCTTTTTTTTTTTAGCTGTATTTAACAACGATATAATGGGAGGTTTTGGTGAACGAATGAAATATGCCAGTGTTTTGAAATTCGATTAACTATTGTGATATCAAAGTAAATGGTTTTATAAATAAATAAAAACTCAATTACCTTACCGGAGTATTATGAATACTATGATTTTAACTTTTTTTGTATTTTCATTATTTATATCTGTATTTCGAGAGGATTCATTATGTAATTGTAAATATACTTGTTTTGCTGAAATAAATCAATGAATATTTTAAGGACAGAAAATCGAATCAAATCAAATATAAATTATACATTTTCATCGAAATACGTAAGATTGTAGAGTAATCATTTTCAATTAGTGACACAATATGTTATAGTTTTTTTCTCTTTTCTCTTTTTTTCTTTTTATATTAAAATTTAATTTTCGATTTAAACTTCTATTATATTTACAGCTGTGTATCGTTTGGACTTTTAAATTTAGACTTTAAATCCGTTATTACGAATAAACAAATACATAAATAAACACAATGCACATTCTTTTTTTACTGGTATTAATACTGCACTATTTCATCGGTGCAATGAAAAATATTGTACTATAACCTAAATTACCATATATTACTTACTAATATAATATACATATACTGCTTACTAAATACTACAACACCTTTTAAATAAAAGTTAAATTTCTTATTTCTTACCGTTGTCATAATTTTTCTTAATTTTTCTTTAAATAATAATACTAGAGATATACCTAGTTATTTTATAATCGTTGGATTATCATAAAATTGTTAGATTGAATAAAAAAAAAATATGTGTTTTGAAAAAATGTAGATAACATACTAAACGTGTGAAAAAAGTACAGATTTTACTCGTTAAATTAATATTTGCATATGGTTCAGATAAAAACATTAAAACAAATTTGCAACAAAAGGATAGAGCTATACCTTAGAAGTATATATATACTCGAGAACTAATATATTAACGTAAACACAGTTTTCTAATACCATTTTATAACATGTTATATTTACGATGTAAAAGTATATTGATCGAAAAAATTGTTTTTCAAAATAAAAAAAACCTTATATTTACAACGTCAAAACAAATCAACAACAGTAAACACTTCATACTCAGAGTTTTGTAGTTTTTCAGCGCATTTAATACTACGTAAATATACTTTCTAAATAATTACTTGGAAATAAAGGGACGAAATTTAATGCAAATAATTGTATTCGACTGTTAATAACAAAATATATTTTGGTTGTTTGAATATGCTATTATAAGTAACCGTTATTCGGAGTGTTGTGTACCAAGAAGATGTTTCATAGCATATACTATTGTATTGCTAAAAAATTTTTTTTAGTCTAGGCTTTGTTCCGCATATAGACTAACAGAACCCAAAATCGAGCAACAGAATTTTTCAAAAATATACTTGAAAAGTTCACTGAATAGGTCAATAATATATATATTATAAATCTGAAATAAAGATTTTATATTATCCGCCTTTCATATTTTCATTAATATGTGTGTAACAATATAAATACAATAAAGTTTATTCTCATAATCATAGAAGATTATAATATATTTGTTTCGTAAAAACAATATTGTTTAAACGATTAGCAAATATTCGTCGTCTCCGAAAATTAACGAACCGTGGTAAACTATCTACCCCTATCCCTCTCTAACCCATCTTCCGACCCGTTAAACATACGATTGAACCCGTGAACGAATAGTTTCCCAACTGTTTATGCAGTGAGTTGGGAGTCGAGAAAAACATTTGCGTTTTCCCTCAACGTGATATGATAACACACGATCACATCTAAGGTATTTACCGGCACAAGGAAAGACATTTTTTAAATAATCGGATGTGCACATCATGAACACGTACCCACGCACGTATGTTTAGCACCTATTCAATAACCGTATAAATGCATTTGAATCGTCATCGCTGCTCTTTTGATCAGTGCGACTGCAGCGATCGCAATCTGCTGTTGCAACCGGGTCCTCGGCACTGTATATGTCAAATCGATAATTTCAACTATCAACGAATTTTTCGGAGCCGAGCCACGGAACACGACCACGGTATTAGTCGACATTGTCACAATCATTGGTGATAAACCACCATTTTACATATCGGATCTATAATATTTTCGCGGTTTTCGACCAGGAAATGGATGACGTACGCGAGATTCGAAACTTTTTGCGTTTTTGAATAACTTCTTAGGCGATCTTAAACTACGGTATATATGAAGATAGATGAATGTAAGATGTTAAGGTAGTGGATATGAGTGACAAACAGAGACAGGTGTCTAAGGACAGAAATAGATTGAAGATAATTTCTTGTACGGAATGGTCTTAAAAGCCGGGTTTAAAAAAAAGTATATATATGTATATATAAGTGGTGTATATGTACCATTAGTGACGCACTGTGGCATTTTTGACTTAAACTTAAAACTATGATATTTTTCACTTGGTTTATTTGGGCAATATCTATAATGGATTTCCAGATCTTTTTTTACTTAGTTTGATAAAAATAAATTTTTGCATTTTAAACAATATTATCTAAAATATTTTTTGCGTTTTAATTTTTTAAGTTTGAAAATTCAAAAGGTAATGGTTGAGATATTATTTTAATTTCAATTTATTTAGTTATATGAACAATAAAATTATCTCTAGGTATATGTATTTTATTGTGTCCCCAGGCTAAAGTATCTATTCCGTATTCTAAAATATATCTTTTATCGTCATGAGCTCTGAGCGCAATTGTGTTCTGTTCTATTGTACAAGTTTCATGTTTATTTGTTCTGAACATATTTTGTTTAATAATTAAGAATTTTTGAGTTGCTAAACAATGTTCAAAAACTTTATGCGATATAACTGTATCAATTACTAATTTTTTCACCCCTTTTGCCTTCATAACTTTTTCCCTGGTATTATGTTTTGTAAAAGAATATAATTTTGATCATAGATCTATAAATTTGGACCTTATTTTATCGTTAAGCTCGTTTTTAAATTTCCTTATAACCTTTTTGTTAACTAAGGGGAAATTATAAATATTATCCAAAGGAAAGTCTGAAGTATCATAATATTCTATTTTATTTTTCATATCCTAATAAAAATCCTATATATGGGGATTTTTTGAGAGGTATATATTTATTAAGACGTAATTTCAAATTTTTAATTTTACCAAAATTCCATTATTATCCTTTAATTTCAAATTCTTGCAATTCATTTTTAAATTTGGTCTTAACTCTGAGATAATATTTATTTCGATTTTTTGTTTTCAATATTATTTAATTTACTGTCTTAAAGTTTTTATTTCTTTATATTCCATGGATTCTATACCTCTGATTTTTTCTGGTGTATACAAATTAGCATTACATTCACCTTTAATTTATTTTTTTTGTTTAATCCTTCTTGAATTCACCAAGAAATATTCTTTATATAGAGTTCATAAATGTATTAATATCTTTAAAACCAAAATTATTACAAATTTTAGTTGTTTTAATTCTACTTTCAAAAGCAGTGTTCTGATCCAAGATAATAGGTCAAATTTTTTTTATTTTTATTAAACAGTATTTCGTTCAACGTATGGAAAATCTAGCGGTCTCTAGGTATTTTTTGTTTTTGTGTTTTAGTCTAGTCAATATTGTTTCAAGAGTTTTCTTATGAGGTTTTATTGTTATTGTATTATTAGGATCATTATGTTTATGTTTTGTTTTTTG